AGAAAGCAGATCATCGTCGTGATGAGTTTTATCAGAGATCTTCCCTAAAGTCCTGTTTTCTTTTCGCAAATAAAAGTGAACTGTGGAAAGTCATTTTTCCATCAGCCCTCTAGCGCCTAGAAATAACTTTGTACCCTGCATCGAAACCCTGTTAACACTTAAAACACACTTAATTCTCCTCCACTTTCCCTACAACACAAACAGCTGGGTATGTCAGGGACAGCTATCAAAGTGTGGTGTGTACACAGCTGGGGCACCAGACAGCCACTGTGATGTGACTGTGTCACTAGAAGAGGAGATGAAGAGCAGGCAGGGTGACAGTTCAGCTGCCTCATTAAGTTAGGGAAATAAAGAGTCACACAGTTTGGGTTTTCTAAGCAATTAGTTTGGTGTGACCCAAAGAAGTAAAACTCTTTACTCCTTTAGAATATGGAGTAACAATAGATACTACTTTGGTCATTTAAACATAGATATAAATATCTTTTTTTCCTGGAACTGATTACCATTTGATTTTCCTGACTAAAAGTTTCGCAGTCAATTTAGAAAAGAGAATGTAAAGGAAGAAAGGCACTTGGAAATCAGCTAACATCTAACTTACTTATATAACTCAGTCATGTCCAAATTGTTTCTTTGAGATCTCTTACTAGAATTCAGGTCCAGCAATAAAGCGACAGTGCTAGATCTTGGTGGAGTTGTTACTCAGAATATACTTTCATATGATCCATCATGTCTGAAAAGCTAGAGCACTCAAAATAGCTTTGCTCTTTGAGAAAAATGACATTCTCAAGAAATTAAAGTGAAATTTAGCTCATTAACATACAGTATACTACCTACATTTGTGAAAACTCTGATATTTGAAAATGTTTAATCCACAGGTAACAGTATCAGTTTTATGTCAGTCCCATAAGATAAATTTATAGCAAAATGAGAGTTAGGGGGAAGAGCCAAGGCTTTTCCATTGTAATTAGACACACATACGTCACCATCTTTTCCTTTTGCTGTGGCGTCTAGTGAGCTCACAGGCTAACCTCACACTTAGCTACAGGACTTTCTACGAGTACAGATGTTCCAATCGACCAACATCATCTATGGCTCAACCACTACTTTTCATCACAAAGTATGAAGTTATTATAAAATGTTGCCTATAGCCATTTTTGAATGTATTAGTTACACAAAGGAAAGTCAAACATTTTTGATAGAAAATGCTATCTGTGTCTACAAATAGGTGTACCAATAATGATCAGATTGCACGGACTGCTCAGTTAACCCTTCGAAAAATTTCAAAGGGTTACAGCAATACTTAATTCGGTGCAGTACACAAATCTAAATTTTAAATGGGAATTTATAGCTTGTGCTCATGTTAAAGTACAATTTTAAAAGTATAAATCTCTTCTCAGGAAAAATTTTAAAGTAGAGATCTACAAATTCTACATTTTAGAATGTGCAGTAGGCACAAATTCTTAATGTGAATAAAGTAAAACAACAGGTTGATTTACCTACTTACTAGGCAAAAGTTATTTAATAATGATCAGAATTATGACTGTCTGTTTAAAATATCAAAGATACTCAGTACACCAATGTTATGCAAAATCCATAGTGCACATATAAGTGATTGGTTTAGCCTACTACTAGATATTGCTAATAACTCTCTCCAAGGATGCTGTCCTGAGGAGGGCTGACAGTGCCTGCCAGTTTCCCTGATTCTTAGATCTGTTTATCCTGCGGTAGGTCACATGGACATTCCAAGGTACTGAAGCCACCTCTGGTGTGGATCACAAAGGCTCCACAAAACTGTCTTTTGGTATTCCTATATAACTCTTATTCAGGCCGTTCACAGATAAGAACAAAAAAATCTCTAAAACGTTCATCATCCTAAATTGACAACTGACAACCACAAGTCAAGGAAACATGTTTTATTTTCCTTCCAATTCAACATAATAAATTCATTATGTGACAATACAAAAGCAAAATAAAAACTGCATATAGAACTGCCATACTAGACAAAGCTTTGTAAGATGATATTTATAAATTTTCTTTATATTCAAATGAGATTGAATCAATCAAATCATTCTCCAATTTCAGTAAGAGAGGATTGGCAAATGAAAAATATTTGACAAAATCAAAGATTTTTTATGTGTTGATTTCTATCAACCTGGATGCTTTTTCTAGAACATGAGTCTAGACAGACCCAGACTGAACAAGTTCAACAATGGTGACAAAATTTGATGTGCATTTTAGCAAATATAATCATCACATGATAACATATCTTGCCATTAAAAAGTCTGGAGAAATGCAGCATACATTAGAATAATTAGTTACTAGATGAGGGTCATTGCTAACTGCCCTTATATGTAATATGGGTGCCATCATTGTCTTAGAAAAGGGGACTGATAGGATAAAACTTAATTTGTTATAATTATAATGCTATTCACCAAGAGGAAGTCCTAGTTGGCAAGACGCACATTGCACAGGGTAACCTCACAGTAATGGTTGTCTTTCAGCATGTAATACACTACATATTTGGAAGGAGTTGAAATGATTTAGTTTTGATTATTATCCTCATTATCAGAGTCTGATGGAAGAGAGCAGCGAACAAAGCCACTGCATTCAAAACAGACAGTGCAGGGCTGTTCTGTAACTAAGAACTGCAAGTAGTCCTTCTTCCAAAATGGCCTCCAATCTAAACCAGATGAGGCAAATTTAACTGAAAATCAAATCTCTCTGGAAATGAAAAATTATACAATGTAATACCTAAGGTATATGAGGTCTTTTCTGCATCAAACACCACAGGGACTTTTGTCATCTTCTATTTTGAGAAACATTAAGCTGTTTTGTGTATATTTAATTCGTGAATGGAATTTAGTACTTCAAAGGTATTACACATTAAATTTTTAGGCCACAATCATGAAAAGACATAATATAAAAATTTAAGAGCTACCTGAAGGAAACTGAGTTCATATCCTCAGTGAATCACCAGAGACACACCTTATTAGTATTTTGGTATGCATAGATTTTTAAAATGTAGTTATTAATAAAAGTTCTTTAAGATTGTATTCTCCAAACACAACTAGGTAACAATGTGTGCCAAGATAGTTTTATTTTGCATAGGAATGAATTGGGTCTGAGTTTGCATTGCTTACTGCATTCCCATGACAGCAATCCAAATTATTAAAACGCTCTAAGAAAGACACAAAATATGAGAAATCCCCGAAACCAAAGCATCTGAATATGTCACAGAGTCTTTCCAGTTAACACTGGGATGAGCATAAACCCAGGGAACAGCCATATTGGACCATTCCTGTGGCTGAATTACACATAACAGTTCTAAAATTTCCCTTTTGTTATGATCAGATGAACCGCACCCTACATGGCAGATACAGCATATGCAAAAATCACAAAGATTGCCTATAAATTTGGTCTCTGGTGTGTCAGTTTTCCACCACAGCACCAAAATAGTGGGCATTTAATCAAACTAATGGATTTTATTGTATCTATTATGTAATTTTTCAATGCAAACAGATCCCGTACTGACCCAGACCTCTTGTTCCTTATGGGAAGACAATGGTAAGGTTAACATTACATATGAAGAGAAAACATGTTCAAAAATATTCTTTAAAAAATCATATGACTGACAATTACAAGAAAGCATATATTTTCTAAGGGTTCTAATGAGGTTGTTAGCAAAAATATAATGAATGTTGTTAGAAACCATATGATTATCTTGCAGCCATGCGTACTACATTAATCACCTTTCAGAAAGTATATGACAATAAAACAATCAAAATATACTTTCCCCATAAATGTATATATTGACAGAAAATCTGCACCAAGTATACTCCTATTGTACCAGTAACTCTCTGAAATAAAAGACAAATCAAGGTCAAACGAAAAACAACCAAGCCCAGTCTTTCTTTACCGCCATGGTTCGCCACTTAAAAAATTAACATCTTCTTTAATTAGGAATATTTTGATGTTTAAGTAATTACAAAATTGCTTAAACACATACCATAACAGAAGATTTATTTTGTTATTTGAAAATTATATTATTTTGGAAGGAAGGATAACCAGGGCTTCTCTGTGCTGTCATTAGCATGTTTGAATTTCAATGGCAAAAGAGGTCTTTAGACCTAGTAGATGATATGGTTTTATTAGAAGAGAAAATTATCTTTTCATTGTTGTCAATTGCTCTTCAATTTTTCTTTAATAAAATTTCACAGCAATCTGCTCAAGAGGATATACTACAGGGCCTTGATTATATATCCCTTAAAGAATGTATTGTACAACAAAGATACATACCCAATACGATTTTTTTATCTGAAATTTATAAAGAAAATTTTCCATGCTGACAGTGCACATTTCATCCACAAGTTTGAAGAGTCAAATGCTACCACAGCTGGGGGTTATTCTGCCAAATGGCTTCCAACAGGGACTACAGAGATGGAGGCTAGGAGGCATGTGTGTGTGCATGCAGGAAAAAGCAACAGACCTGATGGGAAAGAGCCCTTCTCTGGAGTCATTTTTATCAATTACCATCCAAGTAAGCTAATCAAACATAGAGTCTGACGGAAAAAAGCAACAATAGGCAGAAAGCAAATATTAAAGCAGCTGCTTGATTGCCTTCAGAGATTAAAACAAAAAGCCAGGGGTGAGGCTAATATATTTCTTAGGGATTTTCTAAGGCTGAGGGGAGGGGTAAGGGGCATACCTTTAAAAAAAATCATGAAAGGAACTGAGACAAGATTATAAAAAAGGGACCAAGTTATAGCGCGCCATGGGATTTTTAATCTGGCTACCTGTGGTTTCTGTAGTTAAAGCCTTATTCATCCTCCAAACGGGGTGGGGAGAGGGTGTGGGCAGGGGGAAAAAACAAAAAAAAAAATCACATTTATATGTCAGTTTTGCAAATGATCAAACAGCGTGCATCAAGAAGAAGAAAACAAAAAACGCTGATGACTTTTTAAAGATAGACACCCGTTTTAGCAAATATTATTGATAATTACCTGTGCATCTCGTTTCTTGGACTCTTGAATTTGATTTTCGTGCTCCATATTGGCAGCGCGAAGCTGTTTCTCCAGGTTTTCGATTTCCCGTTCATGGTCTCGGACTAGGCTATCCTTCTCTGCGTTATGCTGCTGTAATAGGTGCGTCTTCTCCTGTTCATGCTCCAGCTTCAGCTCTACTATCTGATTGGACAATGAGGAGGACAGTTCATCAACAGAACATCCTTGTCGTCATGACAACTCATGTACAGCTTAATTTTTCTCTAATTTGTCCAAATTGAAAATTTTATTTTTGTATCATTATTACCTCACCCTTAAAATACCTTCATTTGATGGGGAGCATTTTTTCTAAATTCCTAATATTCAAGATACTTGTCATATTCAGGAAATCCTTTGCAATCTGTTGACACTAATGTCTGAATATTGAAAAGATTTGCATTGAATGCTAGGAATTTCCTCCCCAAGAATTGGGTATTGCTGATCAGCAATGGTTGCAAACGGTTAATAGTCAGTACGCTTTGCTTTCTGCTTGAATATATACATGTAAAAAGCAGCAATTAAATCGATCAGTTCCCTTTATGATTTTCCAATAAAAGATCTGAGTTAAATATGCATCTGGATTATTGTATATACAGTTGTCTTTTAGAAATAAAATGATAAATTTCAAAGCTCTATTATCTCTCTGTCAGCTACGGTATACCAACATAAACAGATGTTATGTCTTCCAGAAGGGCACCTGCTGTGCTGCAAGCCTGCGCCATGATTTCATAAAAAGCATTCTCTTCTCAGGATCCTTTCCCAGTCCACTCCACACTGGAGACTGTGACCTTGGCCAGTCTTAGCCTCTCCCTGCTAGACTGAATGGCAGCCTGAGACCAAGGGCCTGGTTGCCGCAGCTTTGATACTAATCCTCCCAGACTGTGCACAATGGCACCCTACCTGGCCTGCAAACTATAGCCGGCCAGGCTGTCTTTGAAGCAGGTGATGAATAGGGGACTGCAGGAAGCCAGCTTCCCCAGTGAACTCCAGGCCACACAGCTGCTAACAACAGTCACTTGGATTTTTCTTCAGTTTTGGTGGATTTCGGGGAGGGGGTGCTGTTATTTAGAATATGTTGTGTTATTTTCTGCGTGAGAATCCATCTTCAAAAAAGCTAACAGTAGGAGCCTGCTCCAAATCGATCTTGTTTCCTGCCCTGAATCATCAGACTACCTTATCTTAAAGCTACAGCAGTCATTTCTCCAGCAAAGCACACACACAGCACTAAGTCTCAGAAGTCATTTTCCTGCAAAATTTTAGGCTTTCATTTCCTAATCACAAATCAAGTGTCAAAACATAAACTAAGTTTGCTTTAGATTAAAACATATGTTTAAAAATATTTAGAGTTGGAAATCAAAAGTAAATTTATAATCACTCATAAATTTGTTATACTGTTTAGAAGAAATGTATGCTAATGCACGAACAACTTGAACATACCACTTATAAGTATGTTACAACTGTGTATAAATAATATTGAAAACGTGTTTTTCATCCGAGACCAAAGATGCATTTTAGTGAATTCATTTAAAATTTGGGTGTTTGCCCTATCCTATTCCAGTGTTAGCAGTAAAGAGAAAAAAAATGGTTTTTAAAAATAATATATACTAAGTAACCAAGTAGTAAATAAAAGTTTTTTAGTATTTAAAATAAACAGATATGTTTTACTCTGTGATCCATACAACTAAAATACTAATCCCAACTGAAGAGAAAGATTAAAAAGTGACCATTGCTGGAGCAGATTTTCAGCAGCTAACTATGAATTATTGAACTGGAATATCTTTAGTTCTTAGACACATTATTATTTCTACTCAGTGTTATAATATCAAGTATCATTATAATAAAATTTAAAAGATTTATCAAAATTATTCAAGCACATTCTATAATGAAGTAAAGCAGAAAGAGGCATAGAAAGTTCTACTTGGATCTTTGAGAACTTTTTAAAAATTGCAAGAATGGTTCTGACTTAAGATTGATAGAGAGTAGAATATTTATAAGTAGCCAAATAGCCTGGGACTAGAAGGAAAGAATTACAGAATATTTTCCCTCAAGGACATAAGCCAAGAAATAGGACTGAGGCCACTAGTAATAATGTCCCTTTATTTTACAACAGTTTTGTATACAATGTATGGGGTTATAGTCACCCCATTCCTTCTTGGTATGCCTCCTCCTTTATTTTGAATGTTGTCTTCTTCTCACCTAGTCCCCAAGTGGCTACATTTGAGATAATGACATCCCTCTGTCGGCAACCATTTACAGTCATTAGCTCTTAAGAGATAGGCCATATGGGCACCACCTCTATTCATGATAGGAAGCTGGAGGGACAGTCTTGTGTACACAGGTTGCTAAGTATGTGTCGTTGCAATTCACTGAATTTGAGGCTTGTCTCATGGGCAGGAATATACACCTGATACTATAAACCAGGTCGGAAGTCTACGGCTGAGGAAGACATGAACCCATTGTTTCCCTAAGTGAATACACAGCCAGACAGTCATCTAAATGTTTATACCTGTAGCCTGCTGCAGCTTTTAGCCTGGAACAGAGACTGTCTGCAGAGGGTTGCAGTCACAGCAAAGACTAACATGTCGTCAAAGTTCTGAGAAAAATAACTAAAGAGCACTGTGCTGACTAAGACAACTATTTCACCCACACATTCCTACCCCCAAGTCCTGTGGCACATTACAGAAGGGAGGCTGGAAAGAATTCAGGACACAGAGGATGGAGAAGATTATAATGAAATGCTACCATTCAGGTACGACACTACTGAACTCTACGATCCAGTAATAAATGATCCCACACAACTTCAGTAGCTCTCTGACCTCAGTATTCTGAAGTGTTCTATAGCCTGTTCAGTTATTTTGCATTGGTCAAATATGTTTCTTCACAAACATTAAAAAGAAAGGGGAAAAAGAAATAATTAATAGAATTTGAACTGTAGAAATATATGTTCATGAATTGTTAGTTTAATATTTTGCTAAGGCCTATTGCCCAGTGAGTCTTCTTAAGGTATAAACCTTTGGGTTAGTGAGGCCTGGTAAATGCCAGAGTTGAGGACTGTCTGCTCAGTTGCACACTATGTTGTTAATTTCTGGATGTTATGAGTTTCTTCTGAATTCAGCTGAGGTTTCTTCCTGGTCACATTCTTCTGTCTTCTCTAGATAAATGGCAGAGTCCACAGGAAAGGTCCGGATGTTCTGGGAATATTCTAACAATGATATTCACAGTCACAAAGGCCATCAGTTGGGTAGAACTGTGTTAGAAACCAAAGCTTTGCTTCAAGTATGTGATATAGAGGTCCTTCAGACTCTTGTGTGCTCCTTTACTTAGGAGCACAGCTCACAGGGAAACAGCATACCTTCCTTATTTTGAACTGCTGGATACTTGGAATCAAGCAACTAAGTCTAATAGAGCTAATGAAGATGAGGTGTCATATGGCAGAAAATGCATAGGTTGTAAAATCAGATGACATCCACATGGCTGAATACTGAGTGCTCAGTGAGCTTCTAAGTCAAATGAGGTGCAGAGACTGGGCCTTTGAACATGTGAAGGGGAACAGGATATACAGTGACAAAGATTGGCTACAGAAGTTCCAACAAACAACCACAAGGGTTTCAGATTTTGAATCTAAAAGGACCAAGACATGGTCAGATAAAAATTATGTTTGGACATCTATAAAACATTGTATCAAGAATAAAATGACAGAGCTGGAGTGATGGATCAGGGGTTAGGAACTCTTCTTACTCCTCCAAAAGACCTGGGTTCCATTCCCAGCACCTGATGTGGGATTCCCCTCTGTATGTTGTGAATATCACTGGTTAATAAAGAAACTCTTTTGGGCCTATAGCAGAGCTATAGTGGAACAGAGATAGGAGGGGAAAACTAAGCTGAATGCTGAAAGGAAGAAGGCAAAGTCAGAGAGAAGCCATGCAGCCCTGTTGAACACAGATGGCCAGAACTTTGGCCTGAACTTTACCTGGTAAGCCACAGCCTCATTGGTGATACACAGATTACTAGAAATGGGTTATACTAAGATGTAAGAGTTAGCCAATAAGAAGTTAGGGCTAATGGGCCAAGCAGTGTTTTAAACAATATAGTTTCTGTATAGTTATTTTGGTTCTAGGTAGTCAGGACGAACAAGCAGCCTACTGCTACTACAAATTTGTGCCAATGTGACCAACAAAATCCACATAAACAGATTCAGACATAAAAGACCTCTAAATGAGACAGAGTGTTTAAAAAATGTACTAGGCTTGGGAGAGAGAAGAAAAAGAGTAAAGAGACTGTATATTCAATATAAGAGACTATAGACAGAAATAGATTAGAGTAGTAAAAATAATAAAATAAATATTAAAATTGTAGAAAAAGTAAAATAAGCCATGAAAAGGACACGGAGAATCTGGATTATGTGTATTATTGTGTTTTCTTTGAATTTTTGGACTGCAGAGAGACATTTGATTCTGGGGATTGCTAAGTTATATCAACATATATACTTTAAAGGTATCTTGATTTCAAAATATGGAAATAAGGATATGTTACTTTTGAAAAGAGGTTCTTCTTTTGTTTCCACAGAAGATGAGCACCTATAGAATCCTTCTAGACTAATGTGGTTTGATGGACCAAGACCACCTGAAAGGTTGCCTTGAACACCCCTCAAAAATTACTTTGCCCAATAAACAGCAGGAAGAAGTTTGGAAAGAATTATGCCCATATTCCCAAATATTGTCTATAAATGTTTGTTTACATTTAAAGGGGGATATGCTATAGAGATTTGCATTGGTATGGATCTTGATTTATTGATACAAATGGAAAATGAATTTTGTTATATGTATATTTCTACTCTTGATTAAGGTATTGTATTTGTGCAGCTTATTTAGAAATGTAATGTATAATTAAAAATATAGGTTAATAGATAATCATCTATAATAGTCAAGCTTGTAGTCATGTTAGATTTTCTAGATGTACAGAGATAAATTTCAGGTAGACAGGCATTCTTCAAACCTTTCAAAGACTAAAGAATATGGCATTCAAAATATTTAAGAACTTAGGATTCTTCATGACAGTGAGACACATCTGTTCCTGACAGCATCAAGCTACTTCAAGAAGATAATGGGCGTTGAAGAGGCTCCTTATGGAGTTTGTTAACCATT